ACCGAGTCGGCGGCGATGGGTTGTCAGCTGGTGGCCGAACATCCCGTGCACCTCGAAGCCGTAGGAGCCCGCAGGTTGGCAGCCATTGCGTTCCAGCCGCGTCGTAATCCCGCACCGTCGAGTAGCTCGGCTGAATCTCTTCACCTTCTCGTTCATCGCTCCGTGCTTGATCTGTCTCTGCATCCTGGTGGCACGTCCCTGCTTGCCGCAACTGAAGTCCACCCCCAGGTACGGCGCCTGCGCCATGGCCCTGACTGGAAACCCTTGAGCCTGGCGGCCCTGGCTACAGCACGGGCGTCGTCGGGATTCGTGCACATGATCACTGACTTCTTGGCCAACTTGAGTCCTGCCTTGGCAAGCTCTTGGCCCGCCTTCACAACTCCGCGTATAAGGTTAGCCCTAACTGCCTGGCGTGAGCCCGTGATCTTCTGGCATATATCGTCTATCCAAACTCGATGGTTCATCCTGGGTGTCGCCGTAACCACCACCTGCATCACGAAATGGGTGAGTATCTTGGCGAATCTGGTTCCCCCTCGCAGCCCCTGGATGACTGACTGGCAGGGCTCGAAGGGGGTGCACACAGCTCCTTCCTGTGACAACGTCCGCATCGTGATGCACTGGAGGAGCTCCAAATATAAGATGACTGGTGGAAAGTGAAGCCTCAAGGCCGCCCTCACCAGGGGCAGCCAAGGTATTGAGTCGTAAAATTCTTGAATGTCAAGCAATCCTTGTCCAAACTCCATTCGCATCCAGTGCGCAACTTCCTCGTCAATGGCATGAAGATATGCTTCGCGCAAACAACTATTCCCAGCAACTGCGGCATCCCATGCCTGTTCTTGATCTTTGCTCCATTGCTTAACTATAGGTTCTCTGACGTGGGACCAAAGGCGGCCTATCATTGATATCATACCTATGCCTCTGTCTCCCTGGGATTTCTTGGGAGTCAAGAAGGTCACAATGAGCTGAGTCTGGGCTGGCCAGGCGAGCAGGGCTTCTGCGTTCTTCAGAATATCAGTGAATTCCTCGATGGCCTCGCGAGGGAGGCGTTGGAAGTCGACTGGGCTCAGGACGTCCACCCCCAGCCCTGCCTTAGCCTTCATGGCCTTGGCGCCGGCGTAGACCAGGTCTGGGGTAAGCTCAGGATGATCCTCACCCTGGGCCGCCTCTCGAATGAGACGAAACACTTCCGTAATCTCGCTGACGTCGGGGGGCCGTGGGGCCCACATCCTCTTGAAGGTCACCGCCTTGTGCTCCATGATGTCTGCTGGATGAACGAGGGTGCGATCCCCCACCTCCAGCTCGCTCGGCGGTAGTGGGTTCGCCTTCAGTGACCTGTGGAGGATGCCCACGGCCTCTGGTCGCATCACAAAGGTCTTAAAGTTGGAGATCGACTCGTGGACTGCCGCGCGCTGAGCCCTGCTGGCCACCCGCTTCGCTGCCAAGACATAGTTCTCCAGCACTGGGGACGACAGCCGACTCGGGTCGCCGAGGACTGCCAGCCACTGGTCCCACGGGGCCTCACGGCCCGCGTTCAGAAGGCTATGCACCCCTTCAGGCCTGGACTGCCGTAGGAGGGTACTGGCCTTGCCGTACTCCTGCTGCTGGCGCTGGCCGTTGTCCCTGCTCTGGTGCCTGAGGACTCCAGCGAGCACCGTGTGGACGCGAGTCCACCACTGGCTACGTTGATCATGAAGGGCGAGCTCCCGCACATGAGCCGTGACCCTCATGGGCTTCTCGTGGATCCTGGGCCCCACGGCGCGCGTGGGCCCAGCAGGGGGCCTGACATGATGGTGAGTATGGAAAGCCTGCTCGACCGCCGTAACCCAAGTCGCGTACTGCCCCGTGAGGAGCTTTCCGCGAGCAGGTTCGAGCGAAAAGGCTACGGAGGAGGACAGGAAAGGGGAAAGACTCGCCACGGCATCCGCTCCCGACCGAAAGCCCACCTGCAGTCGAGCCTCGGCCCACGTGGACGCGGGAATTTCAAACGGAGGGTCGGGCACATCTTCGACCACGGGGCACGAGGGAGCAACCTGCTGGGGGGGGTCGGGGCGATGCAACTGAGCACTGCTATTACCAACGTTGCTGCTAACTGCGGGGTTACTTGAAACCGCCGAGGGGGGAAGGGGTTGGGCCTCGCATACCGACGAATTGACACTGACACTCACATTGACTGCATCGGGCTTTTTGTCCCCGACGGCCGATGCGCCGACCGCGCCCGATCCATCAGACGACAGCTCGCCACCTAGGTGTGAGTCAGAACAAAAATTAAACTCGTGGGCCCAGGGGTCCTCCTCATCCTCAGGGAAGGCAAAAAAATCGTGGCCCAGATCAGGGTCCTGATCGGCCTCCTCGATCACCTGGGGACGCGCAATCCCTATTTGCGCGGGTGGCTCCAAAACATCCCCGAAGGCCTCCTGGAACCCCTCGACCCTCTTGGCGTGAGCTTCCTGGCGCCTAACAGCCGCAGCGGACCTGGCCTGGCTGGACTTAGATCCAGGAGTGGGCTCACACCGAGGCCTCGGGAGTTGGGGCAACTTCGGGGGCAGTGAAATCTCACGCGTCCTAAGGGTCTGGCCTGAAGCTCGCAGGCTCAAGGCTAGCCCGAGATGAGGCTTCCACGGGACACTTCTGACTATTTCCAGACTCTGGATGAATGAGGACGCGGCAGCGCTCATATAAACAAAGTCGATCATTGTGTCAGGTCCTTTTTTCTGGGCACAAGTGCACTCAACTCCAGCTGGTACTCGCACATGGCCTCCCGTCACTCTGTGGAAGGCCGTGCGCATGAGCTCGTCTGGCGTCATGTTGAAGTCGCCGATGATCAGCCACGGGACTCGGAGTGAGCGGAGTAGCCCTCCGAGTCGGTTGAATCTCTCGACATTCCTGCCCGTCATCTTGATGGACGGCAGCGCGTACAGGGCGACCACCACGATCGCGTAGCTGTGCTGCTGCAGTATCACTGGGCAGAATCCGTCGTACGCCGACTGCTTCGGCGCCTTGAGGTACTTGGCAGCCGCCCTCGCCTCGGGCAGCTGCTGGATCTGTAAGTGTCTGCGGGACAAAACCATCTCACCTCCCTCATTCGAGTGTGCCTCCTTGGCCTTGGACACTACCTTCGAGGTGCGGCGAGCCGAATTCATGATCATGCGGAGGTTGAGAGCTCGGCTTGCCTTTGTCCACTTCTTGACGTCCGACTCGCGATGGATGTGAGTCTCAGTCATGACCCAGTGGTCGTAGGCTCCCACGTGCTCCTGTACGTACTTCCATACCTTGTCCGTTAGGCATGTGACGTTCGAATAGAATAGCCTAGTGCATTCCCCTTCGTCACTGCCCGCCCCCTCGGTCTTGTGGGTCCGAGGGGTCCCCGTTCGACGCCGTCAAGCTGAGGGAACTGCAGGCGCCCCAGCAGCGTCACCACTGGCGGTGCCCTTGCCCTTCGCCTTCGTCACCGTCTGCTGCGCTAGAAACTTGGCCGCAGACAGCCTCTCCGCCTCCGCCTTGACGGCGTCTGAAGGGTCAGCTGCCGCCGCCGCCCCGCCGCCGCCGCCTGTGGAGTTCCCTGCCGCCGATGCCGCCGCGGCAGGAGGTGCCCCCTGGCCCCCGCCGCCGTCCGCCGTGGCCGCCTCCTCAGGAGCGCCGTCAGCAGGTGCACGTCTCTTCTTCTTCGCCCGCTCCTCGATGGTGCGCCTATGTTGCTGCATGGCCTCCAACCACTTCTGGATCTCGGCCTCCTTGCCCGTGAGAGTCTCCTTGGCGCCCTGCAGTTGGCCTCGGAGCTCCTCAAGGGCCTTCTTCTCCGCGTCCGTGGCGTCCAGCGCCGCCAGGTTCGTGAAGAAGCTGTCGTCCCACTCGAGGGTGATGATCTTCTTCTCGCCATCGGAGCTGAGCTTGGCCTCGGTGACCCCCTCGGCCTTAGCCAAGGCCGTGGCTGCAGCTCGCTTGGCCTCGGTGGTCTCGGCCAAGTGGATGGCCGCCGTCCTCTCCTTCGCCTCCGCAGCTGCCAGGTTGCTGCGGAGGCGAATGACGTTGCTGACCGCCTGGCTGTGGAGGTGCTCCGCGTTCCTCCACGCCCCGTCGGCCCTGCGCAGGGCCTCTGCGGGCGTGGTCTTGGCGGCCTCCCGCCCGCTCTCCTCCTTGGCGAGCTTGTCCAGCTGCGCCCGGAGGTCCACCTTGAGCGTGGGGTCGGTGGCGGCTGCGAGGGCCTGCTCCAGGAGGCTCTTCACGGACTTGCCCCCCTTGCCGCCCTTGCCGCCTCCGAGCCCGCTCCCCACGGGGCCCTTCAAGATGCCTGGGCGCCGTGGCTGCGGGCGCTCGCTCTCGCTGCCGCTGGTGGCGTCGTAGAAGCCGTCAGCGTCGCTGTCGCCGTACTCATCCACGAACTGCACCCGCCTCTGTCTCCTCTTCTTCTCGAACGGCTTGACCTCGTTGCCGCATCCATTGCAGATGTTGTGGCGGCGGGCCAGAACCCCATTCCATTCACATGTCTGGCACTGCGTGCATCTGGTCCACAGCTGGTGCTGGTGGCCGCCCGCCATTGCTTCTGTCCCTGTGTTGGTCGGTGCCTCTTCTTGGCTGGCACGCAGAAAAGACACAGTCCCTCAAGCGCTACTGGGAAGCCCAGGGACGAACTCAAGAGAGCAAGTGGGCCTCCTGGGGCCCCTCACCCGCTCGAGCCCAAGTTGCTTGAGGGGAGGGAGGGAGGGAGGAGGGAGGGAGGGAGGAGGAGGAGGAGGGAGGAGGAGGAGGAGGAGGAGGAGGAGGAGGAGGAGGAGGAGGAGGAGGAGAGGAGGAGGAGGAGGATGAGGAGGAGTAGAGGAGGAGGAGGGAGGAGGAGAGGAGGAGGAGGAGGAGGAGGAGGAGCAGGAGGCGGAGGAGGAGGAGGAGGAGGAGGGAGAGGAGGAGGAGGAGGGAGGAGGAGGAGGAGGAGGAGGGAGGAGGAGGAGAGGAGGAGGAGGAGGAGGAGCAGGAGGAGCAGGAGCAGGAGAGGGAGGGAGGGGCACCTTCGCGGACGGCTCTCGCTCTTGCAGCGCCTCCAGGAACCCCAGCAGCCGCGTGATCTTCGACCCGAAGCGGCCGCACTCGCCCGCGGGGGCGCCGGCGAGGCCCTCGTGGGCCTCCAAGCGCATGACCTGCCGCGCCGTGGCCGGCGCCCGGCAGACGGGGCAGCGCGCGTCCCGGCGGACCACCTCCTCGGGGGAGGGGGAGGAGGGGGAGGAGGAGGAGGAGGAGGAGGAGGAGGAGGAGGAGGAGGAGGAGGAGGAGGAGGAGGAGGAGGAGGAGCAGGAGGAGGAGGAGGAGGAGGAGGAGGAGGAGGAGGAGGAGGAGGAGGAGGACGTGCTCGCGTCGTAAAGCAAAATCAGGACGGCAGATGTTTGGCCGTGTTCGGCCTCGGGGGGCCCTCGCCGGGCCTCGGGAGCGTCAGAAAACGACTCGGGACGAAAAACCGGCCCCGGGGAAAGGGTCGGGACTTCCAGGGACCCCTTATTGAAGCAATCAGGACGTCGCGTGTCTGGGGAGGCAGGACCTCGCCATCGCTCCGACGGCCGTTCCCCGTGCAGTTAGATTCCGCGCGCGGGTATTTTTAGCGGGATGCTCCAGGATGCTCCTCGATGGTCCTCGCCGAGGAGGCACGCCGAGCGCTGCCAAGGGACTCGGCCGATGCTAACCCTCACCATCCGCGCGGCAGGTGCCGCCGCGGCGTGGCCGCGGTGGCCCCGTGTGGCCGCGGCGGCGGCCGCCGCGGCGGCGGCCGCCGCGGCGCGGCAGCTGCCGCGCGGAAGGTGCGGAGGGGCAAGTGCCCCTGGCCCAACCAAGACATGGTCGCGCCGTAAAGAAATCCGGACGGCAGGTTTTTGGCCATTTTCGGCCCTGGGGGGCCCTCGCCGGGCCTCGGGACCGTCAAGAACGACTCAGGACGAAAAACCGGTCCAGGGGAAAGGGTCGGGACTTCCAGGGATCCCGTCCTGAAAAAATCAAGGCGTCGCATGTCTGGGAAGGTGTCCCCAGCTTTCCGGTCCATCTTAGGAGCCCTGGGGGCCCCCTGGGGCCAGAGACGCCGGTGGCAGCACCTGCAAGAACGGGCACCAGTACTGCCAAGTACTTCCCTGGAGCCTCTCCAAGGGTGTGCTTTGACCATCATTTCGAAGCAAATCCAGCCGTGGACGAGCGGAAGGGCACAGCGACATTGGCACCTCTTCCTACGAGTAGGGGATCGACTATAGAATCGATGTGCCCAAGCCTGTGCTTTTCGTCGAAGCCACGACTAAAGCGTAGAACTGCTCCTTCCACGAACAGTCCACGAACGAGCTGCTTTCCCACGGCCTCGGCGAGAAGAAAACCAAGCCTGGGGCAAACCAGCTCTGTGGTCGATCCCCTGCTCGCTTCCTCCTCGAGATCCTCGATGCAGGAGTTGCACCCCAGGTGGGCGCAGGGAAGCACGCATCGCAGCGCCAGCGGCACGTCCTCGAGGCAGATGGGGCACCGCAGCAGCTCCTCGCCCCGGGCAGTGCGCACCGTGACGCCGAAGAAGTGCACCAGCCGCGCGCACGCCTCCAGCGTCTTCATGGCGCGGAGGGCCCCGGCGACCGCCCGCACGGCCTTCCTGGGAGGGCAGCAGGGCTCGGCCGGCGGCTCACCAGGGGGGGGGGGGGAGCGCCCCCGCCTGCGTCTGCACGGCCGCGTGGGACGTCGCTTCGCAACTCGGACTCTGCGGCCGCAGCCGTCCATCGTGGTCGTCGTCGTCGTCGTCGTCGTCGTCGTCGTCGTCGTCCTCATCTTCGTCGTCGTCCTCGTCGTCGTCGTCGTCCTCGTCGTCGTCGTCGTCGTCGAAGCGCATCTTCCCTGAACAAGCCCCGAGGGTCGACGCGCCTGGGGATACCCTCATCAAACACATCGCGTGCTTGGGGGCGCGGGCGGGCCTTCTCTCTGAGGGCACCCGCCCTCTCTGCCTTCCTCGATCGGCAGAACAACAACAACAATAATCATCTTAGGACTGCTCGCCCTTATCTGCCGATACCCGCCCTCTTCGTATTCGATCGAAACCCTTTTGGGGGGTATACTTTTTTTCCCTGCAGACCGGCTCCGGCAAGCGGCGGGGCGGCCGCGGACCGTCGGCCTGGCCAGCGGCAGCGCTGATCGGCGGGGCGGCCGCGGACCGTCGACCCGACCCCAAGAGGGACGGACAGGGGACCGACGACGACGACGACGACGACGACGACGACGACGACGACGACGACGACGACGTCAACGACGACGGCGACGACGACGACGACGATGGCGGCGACGACGACGACGACGAGCGAAAGCAAGAGAGAACGACAGCAGGGCCACAAGGACACGAAGTAAGCCACGAAGGGCGACACCAGGGACACGAAGGGCATGCGTATGGGGCCACGAAGAGCGCGAACGAGCGAGGGCCACGAATGGCAGATAATGCGGGGCCACAGAAGGCAAAGATGGGGCCACTGAGGGCAGCAACGGGGCCACGTAGGACAGCGAGGGGGCCACAAACGGCGACAGCGGGGCCACGAAGGGCATGCACATGGGGCCACAACGGGCGCGAACGAGCGGGGGCCACGAAGGGCATACGCATACTGGGCCGCGGAGGGCAAGGAAGGGGCCACTGAGGGCAGCAACGGGGCCACGAAGGGCAGCGAGGGGGCCAGGAAGGGCGACAGCGGGGCCACGAAGGGCATGCATATGGGGCCACCACGGGCGTGAACGAGCGGGGGCCACGAAGGGCATACATTTATGAGGCCACGAAGGGCAGCGAGGGGGCCACGAAGGGATGCAACGGGGCCACGAAGGGCAGCGAGGGGGCCAGGAAGGGCTGCAACGGGGCCACGAAAAGGCTACGACGGGGCCACGAAGGGCAGCGAGGGGGCCACGAAGGGCTGCAACGGGGCCACGACGCAAATTCGCTGAGCACCCCGCTCACCCGTAGCTGGGTTGCGTCTGCAACCACAGCGTTGGGTGTGCGCCGAAGCCTGCGCCGCGCCGAGAGGGCGCGGGCGCCGCGAGGCCTCGGTGCTGGTCGCAGCACGACCCAGCAACGGGCGAGAAACGGGGCGGGCACGGGCGGGTCAAATCCCGAGCGCGGGGCGCGCGCCCCAGGCACACACAAACCTGTGGTACCTGCGCGCGGCCGCGGCGGGCAGCGGCCGCGCGCGGGGGCGCGCGGGCCTGCCCACATCGCCTGCGGCGCGCCGCGGCGCGCGCGAGCCAAGCGGCGGCGCGGCGACTGCTCGCGCCTGCGTCCGCCGCGTGCGCCTGGGGCCAGCGAGTGCGTGCGATGGAACCAGGGGCCGAACTCGTTCCATACAGACAAATTCGCTGAGCACCCCGCTCACCCGTAGCGTTGGGTGTGCGCCGAAGCCTGCGCCGCGCCGAGAGGGCGCGGGCGCCGCGAGGCCTCGGTGCTCGTCGCAGCACGACCCAATGCAACGATGCGACCAGCGCCGTGCGCCGCTCACCCGTTGCGCACGCGGGGCGCGGCGCTCGGGCGCGCGCCGGGATGTCGCAGCCACACTAGGTGTCTGAGCTGCTGTCAGAGCTGTCCGAGCAGTCGGACGCGGCGTTGCGCGCGGCCGCTACCCTCTCACTTTCGACCCGGACGCGGTCGACGTAAGCCAGGTAGGCGTTCGACGCCCAGCCTCCACGTTCCTGCGTTACCGCGGTCGGTGCACCCGCGCGATCGATGTCATCGGCGTGCCCCCTTGTGCGCGCGAGAGGGGCGGAGGGATGTGCGCGCCGAGCCGCGCGGGCGGTCGCGGGTCGCGACCTTCGTATGTCGTGGGTGCCGAATAGGTTGGCACTGCCCACGCCTATCCTGGACAATAGGGACCGAAGGATACGCCGGGCATCCGACCCTGAGAACTGCGCGAACGGCTGAGTGCCCACTGCTGTGCCGCGCAGCAAGGGAGGCAGCGCGTGCACGGCGCGCGTCGCGGCGCGCGCGCGGCACCAACACCTCCGGCGGAGTATCGACGCGCACGGCTTTTTCTTCCGCCTTGGCAACCAGAGGAGTGCCTCGTCTGCCGATATGGCCAACTCCGCCTAGCGCGTACGGCGCGTGCGCGGGTGCCCCAGCGCGCGCGTTTCCAGACGGCGCGGCCCGCCGTGCGGCCGCGCGACAGAGTGTTGCCGCACCACCGGATGGGTAAACACTCGGATGGTAGGCGAAGCAGGAATATGTACGTAATTAGAAACATGGTGGATGCCACCTGCGCGACCGCTGGGTTGACTGGCGAATGCCGCGCGGCGGCCCCGCCTTTTCTTCTTCGCTGCGACCATGTAGGCCAAGTAATTGCGCAATCATAGCGTCACGAACGAAGCGCGGTTCGCGTGGCGTGTGTCCGCCGCGCCGCACAATGGCTGCCTTGGCCTTCCCGGGCGCGCGACGCGCGGCCTCGCGCGCGCGGTGGCGCGGGGGCCGACGCCGGAGCAGCCGTCTGTTGCCGAAGGCGCTCGTGTCCAGGCGTAGCACTTCGCACGCTGTCTGCGCGCGCCCGCAATAGTTCCGGAACGTGCCCGCGCAAGAGAAAGTGCCCGACCAGCACAACAGATCGTCCTGGGCGCACGCCGCAGATTATAGGAGTCTGCGGGCCGCGCAGGAGGGGTTGCGCGGATTGGTCGCGCCTCGCTGGGCGGCAGCGCGAGATGCCGGTCACGTCCGAGTACGTCTATCGCGAAATTGAGCCAGCACCGCGCACCGCTCTTCAAAGATTGGCGGGTGGATGGTATAGTGCTGACCAGGACCTCCAATCGGGCCCGTTCCGCCCATTCGCGCCGCCCCCCCTGCGAGGGCATGGAGCACGCAAGCCACTGCGCGTTGCGACGCGGCCCCTCTGGTACGGGTGTCGAGGGCGGTCTTGGCCGCGCCATCGCCCTTTCGAATGCAGGCGCTATCGCTGTCAGGCGCTCTGGAGAACGGCTCCGCGCATCCCCGCTACGCGCGGAAGAGGGTCCCGCGGCGCACAGGCGATCGAGCTCCGACAGGAGGGGCGCTGGCAGGACATGCAGGTCCGCGATGCAGCTCAGCTGCGCCCCGACGAGATCCTGGTGGGTCTCGAACCCTTGCTCCGCCAGCACGCTGGCCGCACGCGCGATATCGGAAGCACCCCCTGCGCGCCAACGGGCGCGCGCGCGCACGCCGCGGGCGCGCCAGCCGAGCAACCTTTTATTCCGCACTGGTGTAAATCGCGGGCGAGGCGAACCGATGCGACACTGCCTGTGCGGCGAAGACGCCGACCCGCGCCCGCGCGCGCCGCTCGCCTAGAAAACGCTGCACGCCTCCTGATATGCCGGTCACCGCGTCGCGCCCAGGGGGAGGCCCCGGGGGCGGTCGGGCCAGCGCGGCCGCCCGCGCGAGTCGACGGCACTCTTCGCTCGTGCCAGCCCGATCGCACCAGCCGGCGGTTTCGCCGCCGCGCCCCTGCAGCTGCATGAGAGAACAGCAGCCATGCCGAACGCATAGAGCCGCGGCCTCGGCCGCCGCCGCATCGCTGAAACGCCCTGGGAAGCTACGGCGAAAGTCGCGGGCGAGCTCCATCTTGCGCAATGCCGGCTAGCGTGGCAGCCGGTTCCGCTTGCGCGCGCGCGCGCCCCGCGGTGCGCGCGCGCGGGGCAGTCTTACTAACATGCAGCACTCGCGGGCGGTGGCCCACAGCGGAAGGCCTCCGCGAGTTGTGCACGGACCCTCTTCCCCCCAGACGCGAGAGCAAATCCCGCTCCTCGCGGCTGGGAAGGTCGGCCAGGTTCCTTGCCGACTCCACGCGCTCTATCCACGCGTGGACCTGCCGCGGTGGCGCGGCCGCGCGCGCGTGTCTGGCGGCGCGCGGTTGCCGCGCTGCCTGGAGCGCCACTACCGCCGACCAGAATTGGTGCACGAGAAAATTGTGGTCGCGTGACTTTGCGGCGCCCTTCCTGAAAGTGCACTCAGCGACGCTGTTGTCTGAGAAGAAGACCACGCGGCGGCCGGCGAGCGCGCGTGCCCACGTGGACAGAGCCACGCACTGCGCCAGCATCTCGAGCGCCGCGATCTGCTGATCATTGCGGGCGCGTAATCCGCTGCACCAATCGCGCAACGCCCGACGCGCGCGCGCGCGCCGCGGACCGTCGCGCTGAGACCTGAAAAATTCTTCTGGCGGGGCCATGTCGGTCCACTCGAACGTGTCTTCTGTGAGTAAAATTGCGGCGAGTCGCGCCGGGCTGCCGCGGGCGTCCGCCAGCACGAGCACCGGCGGGCGCGCGCTGCGGCATCGCCAGGGCCGCGCGCGGGCGATGTCCCGTGCCAGTACGTCTCGCCACCAGCGCAGCGCGTCGCTCGCGTGTCCCGCGAGGCGGGGCAGGGAACCGCATGCCTGGTGGAAAAGCGGTCGCGCCATCGAGCGCCCGGCGCGCTCGAACGCGTGGCAGCATGCCCACGACAGGCGACCCGCCATCTTCGACGCCTCGCCGGCCGTGAGCGCGCCTGACCTCAAGGCGCCGTCGATGACGGCAATCCACTGCTTTACTTTATCGTCGTCGGGCTTGACGTGGAAGCCCGATGCCGACGACCGGACGCGCTGCCCCAGGATCACGATCGACGGGCCCCACGCCATT